AATCGTTTCACAGACCTGTTTGGGAGCGGCACCGTCCTATGTCTCACCATGTGATTCTTGAAACCACACCCAATCGTATTAGGCAAAGCAACAAAGCCCATGATGTCATGGATGCAATGCACCGATAGTTGAGTTCAACATTTTCTGATTCTGACATGCAGCAAATGCTCAAATATCTGAAGTATAGCAACAGGACTGAATGTTCCGAATGTATTGGCGACGACCTGCAAGTGTACAGACTGCTGAGTGTTCAAGAATTCATACCCTGTCATGATGGCACCAGACCATATGACTATGAGGATGACAGCAAGCATGGATACTATATGACGTGATACTGCATTGCTGTCTTCCGTTTATTGAATCGGTTTTGACTCTGTTCCAATGGATGACACAGCAAGAGACATCCTGTCAAGCAGGTGCTTACGGATCAGATAGATAATCAACACAATTTGCATGGCTTCCAAGATCTGGATGACACAAGTGAACAGTGCATATCGCACAGTGCAGTAGATTGTCAGCCAGCGTGGCTCGATGGAACCCAAGAAATAACAGCGGACAAAGATACTGCCACATGTCTAGGATCAAGATCATTACAAGCAGGTGGTAGATCACGGCTGCAATCTGGATTCTTGTCACACGTCTCTCGTTCAAAAACGTTGTCAAGATTGTAAACTTTTTGAGCAGCTCTGCATCAATAAAGAAGCACATGAGAATGATGAGTGTGTCAGAGATGACAGAGTGTGTGGACAATCGGCGGACTGTCAGTGAAAGCGTATAGATATTTGCAGACTGTAAAGAAGATAGCGACAATAAACAGCACTGCCATGGCATTGATGTAGAAAGCGCCACGATTGAGTCTCGGAATGATGCGAATCAGACACCACAGATAGCCTGCCATGGCCAAGGACAGAACCGTGAGTACGACATAACCCATCGGTTGTGTAGTCACAGAACCGACTGAAATGGTATGTTCCGTCTGTGTAGATGCCCATGAAGATTAGGTGACGTGGATCTGGTCAGACTCGCACTTTGCAATGTCAAAACCATTGAAGCGTGTTCTCATTGTCGGAGGTGTTGCTGGTGGTGCAACATGTGCTGCTCGTCTGCGTCGATTGAATGAGCATATCAAGATTACTGTCTTTGAAAAGGGAGAGTTTGTGTCCTTTGCCAACTGTGGTCTTCCCTATTATGTCGGGAATGTCATCAAGAAGAAATCTGACTTACTCCTTGCTACACCAACACTCTTCAAAGACCGGTTCAACATTGATGTCAGAGTGAACCATCAAGTGCTCAAGATTGACCGTTCCCAAAAGCAAGTTCACATCCATGACCTGGTAAGGCAAGAAAAGATTGTAGAGTCGTACGATTATCTGGTGCTGTCTACTGGTGCCAATGCAGTGAGACCCAATCTGCCTGGAATAGATCTTCCTGGTATCTACACTGTGCGCAACATTCCAGATACAGAGAACATCAAGCAATGGATTCAAGATCACAACGTCAAGCGTGCTGTTGTTGTTGGTGCTGGATTCATTGGTCTGGAAATGACAGAGAGTCTCCAAGAACGTGGGATCAAAGTGGATCTGGTAGAGTTTGCACCACACATCATGTCGAACTTTGATCCAGAGATGGTCACAGATGTCGAGCAACACATTCGATCCAAAGGCGTTGGATTGCATCTGAGGGAAGCCGTCTCTGGATTTGAAAAAACAGCCAATGGACTAAAGGTACTCACAAGATCTGGAAAATCAATTGACACAGACATGGCGATTCTCAGCATTGGAGTCAAACCAGACACGCAATTGGCACAAGATGCGCAACTTGCATTGGGAGCCACTGGTGGCATCAAGACGAACGAGCGCATGCAGACGAGTGATCCATTCATCTACTGTGCTGGTGACAGTGTCGAAACGCACGATTACTTGACTGGTAAACCAGCCATGGTGCCTCTTGCCAATCCAGCCAACAGACAAGGGCGTGTGATCGCAGACAACATTGCAGATCCAACTACTCGCTCCGTCTATCGTGGTGTCCAAGGCACATCCATCTGCAAAGTCTTTGATTACGTTCTCGCTTCCACTGGCCATTCAGAAAAGCGATTGCAACCAAAACAGTATGAAAAAGTGTACTTGTTTCCGTTCAACCACGTCACATACTATCCAGGAGCAACTAAGATGAATCTCAAGCTCTTGTTCGATCCAAAGGATGGCCGTGTGCTTGGTGCTCAAGCTGTTGGTGTCCAAGGTGTCGACAAGCGAATTGACGTTGTCTCAATGGCGATTCAGTCTAAAGCCACCGTGTTTGATCTCGAAGAAGCAGAGCTCTGCTATTCCCCTCAGTTTGGTGCTGGCAAAGATCCGATTCAAGTGGCTGGCATGCTTGCTGCCAATCATGTCAGAGGAGATCAACCATTGGTCCATTGGGACAGTCTCAAGATGAGCGAACAACCACAGATCTTGGACGTGCGCAACCAGGATGAGTTCGACAGAGAACACATTCCAGGAGCCAAACTGATTCCACTCCCACAGCTCAGAAAACGACTTGGAGAGCTCGAAAAGACCAAAAAGGTTTATGTGCATTGTGCAGTCGGACAACGAGGATACTACGCAACTCGCATCCTCAAGTTGGAAGGCTATGATGCAGCCAATCTCTCTGGTGGAATGACCATCTACAAATCCCTGGTTGCAGCAGACAAGATGAGCAAACTGTGACAGTAAACAGCTTCGGAACCCATCTGATGTTGGCGGAACATTGTCATCTTGCATTTCTCCTTGCCAAAGACCAAAAAAGTCATGGCATTGGTGTGGAATGCTACTCCGACATCAACGTGGAGAAAACGTGTGACCATTCAGTCGGAGAATATCAAAAATTAGCAGAGAAAACCCAGAAAAATGACTTGTTTCCAAGGAATCAGCCAATGGGAGACAGAGGCGCCTCACTCTGATATTGTTCCCGTGCTGGGGCCACGCTGAAAATCGTCGGGGCTTCGCGGCGCGCATCAATTGGTCACTTGACGAGGTCATGAAGTGTGACCACTCACTTGACACTGGCGCTATTTCTTAGCTGCACTTTCCGCTTTTTCAATGGACTACTTTCTAGGCTGGTGCTTACGATGTGAGAAACACATTCCTCACGACTGTCTCTACTGTTCAGAGGCATGCCAATTTCAGGACGCCAACGATGCTCAAGTCTCTGGTCACAGCCCTCTCTCTCCAGTAGCTACAGTCACTTGCTCTTTATTGACAGACGACTGCATCGAACGAGCCACAACACCGACAGAACCTTCTCCCAAATCCACACAAGCAAGCGACATTCCAACCGCATCTCCACCACTCTCCTTTTCATTCCCAAAGTTTCAAAGGCGGCCATCGCACGTCAGACGGGGACGACAGGTCAGCAGTGGCATTTGATACCCTACATCGTTGGTTCTGTACATAAAGAAGAATCCTATTTATACGTTTTAGTTTTGGAAGAGGGCATCGGAACACGATTCCGATCCAAAGTCGCTGTTATGCAGGATGCATTGTGTTCAAGCAGAAACAAGATTCCGACCAGATTTATGTGATCCCAGAGGTCCCAGATCAGATCGCAGAAAGGTGTCCTCAGATCGCTTTGCAACACGTCCACAGAAATCGGAACCTGGAGATATCTCAATAGCAGTCACACACAGCTATTCCTTGACAAGCCTGGATCACTGGACACAACAAGTCAAACTGTTATGACCGTATGAGCAGCCGGAGAATGTAGTCCATACTGAAAATGAATTACAGCAGTTACTGTTGGTTTCTGAAACAAAACCTGTTGAGTCAAATTCCGACGTTTGACGCAATTCCGCGATCAAATCAAGTGACTCGACAATCCACTTTCCGAATGGATTTTCTGTCCAACTGGTGCCTCATCTGCCAACGACCGTCACAAGCAGCTTACTGCTCCACACAATGCCGTCTGAAAGACCGTGAGCCGCATGCAAGCATTCCACCATTTCCAGGTCTCAGGAAAAAGTCTCCGCGAAGACTACAAGTCTTTTAGTGCTTTTCCAGTTCTCCCATTTCTTCCAGCTCTTTAGACAGTCTCTTGCTCTCTGATTTGATCAGGATGTCGTAGTAGCCAAACTTGATCATGGCAGTTTCCATCCCCGCACCTAGCAGAGCACCGATTCCAAAGGCCTTTACATAAAACGTTGATGACACCGGTTTTGGCTGTGGAAGCGGCTCAAACGGCAGCTTTGCACTCCTCACAATGCTAGATGCACGCATGGCGAAAAGTTTTCTAACCAGACAGGTGCTTTGCCTCGAACATGGAGTACCACACAAACTGGTGTTTGACTTGCGCTAAACAAACCGAGGTAACCACGCTGATTCCAGGGTGAGCCATACTGCTGCGAAAGATGCAGGGACAAGGATGGTTGGATTCGCAACTACGTCGAACACGACAAACCTGTCACACAGCCTTTGGTCACCAAGCGCTTGAAATTCAAGTGCAACAAGCACAACAAGGTCAAGTACTGATTGCTATTCCTTGGCTTGCTTTGAGCTCAAAGGCATCGACACAAGAATAAATAAGGTTGCCTGTATCTGCCTGTGATCTTCTGAATCATTGCTAGTGCTGTTCTGTTGCATTCCAGAGCGGAGCGATCCGAGAACGCTTCCGAATATTTGCATCGGGACAGCATCACCAAACAATCGCTTTGACAAGAGTCTCTGATTGCTTCTCTCTTGCATGTTTATGCTTGTTAGTGACAAGCTTGTCGCTTTGATCTGGATTTTGCCCTCGCCACCCTCCTGACAAAAAAGCATGGACCACCTAAAGTTGAAATCTGTTGAATTTAAATGATTCAACTGGACGGAGAATCAGAGTATTCTGGGCTTCAGACAAAAGGCAACATATCGCGATGCTGCGTGACAAGCGGGAAACCAATCAGACTGAGCACAATCCAGAAATAAAAGCAAAGTGAGATACTGCAGAATGTAAAGAGCAAGATACAATAAAAATGAAAAAGAGTGCTCCCAAACTGGGAATCGAACCCAGGCCTTCTCCGTGACAGGGAGAGATTCTAGCCACTATACTATTTGGGAATTGGAAGGACCGCCGAATGTCATTACACTATCCTAAATAACAATCTGGACAAGGTATTGATTTTGTCTGAATCTATGCATGATTGTGGAACAGGAGGATACTTGATGGGAAGATGATTGGAGGTACCAAGAAAATGGTGCTAAATTTCTTCTCAATGAATCCAACAGAGTGTTTTGCACAGATAGAACAACAGAGACACAAACTGGACAAACAACAGTTGCTGAAACTACTGGAAAAGGCAGCAAAGGAGATATCAGTCGAGAAACACAGAGAGGATCCACTGCTGCTGAGAATCTGGATTGAACTCGTTCACTTGGAGCGCAAGACTGGCATGGGATATGACAGAGTCATGGAGAGACTAGAGTACCTTAAAAGAAACCAGATAGGAACCAAGCATCCAGCACTGTACTTGGCTTGGGCAGATATCCAAGAATCTTATGGATTTCCACTGAGAGCACGCAAGATCCTGGAGGAGGCCTTGGAAGTGGTTGAGAGCAAGTCAAGGATTGAACAAGCACTTGAAAAACTGCCGAGAAAGCCATTGCAGCCGTTGACGCGCTCACAGTCAGATGAGGCACCAAAGCTGTCTGAAAAGACACCGCTGAGAGTGACCCAGAGTCTGTCTCTCAAGTCTGTTGACCGTGAGCCTCTGAGATCTCTGGAGAGAGAACCGTTGAAACCAGTCGAGAGAGAGCCACTGAGATCTCTGGAGAGAGAGACGCCAATGAGGGGATCTGCACTGGGAAGAGCAAAGACACTTGAACTGTCCGAGGTGAAGCAAACACCAGTCTTCAACCATCTCAGAGGACGCAAGATTGGCAGATTGGGACTGGGACCACCCGCAAGATCCAAAAAGTCGGAGCAAGAAGACACGCAGAGCTCTGAAAAGTCACGACCACTGTCTCCGGCATTGACTGACTCGCCCAAGCAAGAGGAGATGGACATTACCACGAATCAGAGTGTGATAGCTGTGGATCACTCGAATGTGTTTGAAAGCACTGGAGACAAGCAGGATTGGAGGACCTTTGACAACATTGAATGGCAATCTAGTGACCTCTCCAACAGTCTGTCCGTCAACCAGCCGTCTGCCAGTCAGCCAACTGTTGCAGTATCTTTTAATCAGCCACCTGTTGCAGCAACTGCCAGCCAGCCATCTCTTCCGATATCTGTCAATCAGACAGCTGTCAATCCACCAGAGACTGTGGACAGACAACAAGAAAGACTGCTGGACAGACAGGAGAGCGACAGAGAAAAGAAGCCGTTCTTCAAAGTGAACGGTGTCGAATACCAGAGAATCGATCTGATTGGAAAGGGAGGCAGCTCCAAAGTCTTCAAGGTACTCGATGCATCTGGCAGAGTCTACGCACTCAAGAGAGTCAAGCTACAAAAGCAAGATCCAGCAGTGGTCGAGGGCTACTTGAACGAAATTGAAATCCTCAAGAGTCTCCAAGACAGCGACCGCATCATCAAACTGTATGATTCTCAGACAGATCTCAATGGCGAACTCGTGATGGTGCTTGAATACGGTGAAATCGACCTGGATCAGCTCTTGCAGCGACAAAACAACAAAATGTCACTCAATTTCATCAGAAACTGCTGGGAACAGATGCTGCAGGCAGTGGATGCCATCCACAAGCAGAACATCATCCATTCTGATCTCAAGCCGGCCAATTTCCTGCTGGTGGAGGGATGCTTGAAACTGATCGACTTTGGCATTGCAAAATCCATTCCAAACGACACCACGAATATCAAAAGAGACTACCAGACTGGCACAGTCAACTACATGGCACCAGAAGCACTGCAATTCGCGGAGCAAGATGGTCCAAGAGGAACCTATCTCAAGCAGGGCAGGGCATCAGATGTGTGGTCTCTGGGATGCATTCTGTACAGATTCTGCTATGGCAGCCCTCCCTTTGGCAATCTGCCGATGGCCAAGAAGTTCTTTGCGATTGTGAGTCCGCAGTATACGATACAGTATCCAGACACAGTCACCAGGAGTCTGAGGGAGATCATGCAGGCCTGTCTGGTGAGAGAGCCCAAACAGAGAGTCACGATCGAGAGGCTGTTGCAGCATCCGTTCCTGCATCCAGGTTCATCATCTGATTCTAGAGCAGCTGTTTGAGCAAGTGCATCTAGAGCAGTTGCTGAGAGAAGCCCTGCGACTTGGACTGACTCCAGACACGATCTCGGATGTTGCCAGACAACTTGCCTCATGATTCTCAACCAAGTGACACTTCCAGCGAGAAGCATCCAGCAATCACTCGAGTTCTACCAGCGACTGGGATTCCAAGTGATTGTCAAGACAGACCACTACTGCAGATTCATTGCGGGGCAGTCAACATTCTCCATCTCTCAGACAGACAGGATTGTCGACAGCGAACACACCATTTACTTTGAACTCGACTCTGACGATGCTCTGGATAGCAAATACAGTCATCTTCTTGGACTTGGCTTTGTGTTTGAGCATCCACCCATCAGCCAAACCTGGCTCTGGAGAGAGTGTCTGTTGAGAGATCCAAGTGGAAACAGAATCCTGCTGTACCATGCCGGCAAGAACAGAGAGCATCCGCCATGGAGAGTCAAATCATAAACGTTCTTTGATGATTTTCGCTCTCGCACACCAGATTCCACTGTTCCCTGGTCCTATTCCTTCAGTCGCTATCATCGGCAGCGGTGCGAGTGGTGCTTCAGTCGGTTACCATCTTCCACCCAATGTCGATGTCACAGTGTTTGAACAACATGACAGAGTCGGTGGACGAGCACGCATCTTGGAGATTCCACTTGAATCTGGAACGGTCAAGATGGAGCTTGGAGCATCGATCATTGCTGACGCCAATAAGATCCTCAAAACAGCAGCCAAGAGATTCGGTCTCAACACGACCAGTCCGCAGACAAACGACCATGCCAGTTTCGGTGTCTATGATGGCTCCTGGAGACTCTTGGCAAAGCCATATGAATCTGGATGGCTGGGTTGGCTTCCGTTTGCAAAGATGGCATACAGATATGGCATCCAGTCGCTCTTTCAGACCAAGTCCATGGCATCTGATCTTGCCAAGCGATTTGAAGCAGTGTACGATCTCATGGACCAGAAGCAGCTTGGATCGATTGATGAGCTGGTAAAGGCGCTTGGATTTGAGGACGAAACCCAGCACACGTGCCAAGAATGGATGTCCAAAAACAAGATCAGTCCCAAGTTTGTGGAAGAAATGTTGGGCGGCATCACCAGAAACACATATCTCCAAGAGACAGAGAACATTCATGCCTTTGGCTGTCTGCTGGCACTGTACTCTGGCCAGAACGACATGTTTTCGATTGAAGGAGGCAACTACTTGCTGTTTGAAAAGATGCTGCAGCAGAGAACAGTGCATCTGAACACGCGAGTGGAATCAGTCGAGAGACTGAGCAACGGCAGATTCTTGCTCAAGACTGGCGAAAGCGAGCAGCTGTTTGACTATGTTGTCCTGGCAGCACCAGCTGGAATCGACCTGATCAACATTCGCAAACCGCCACGAGTCAAGTACGTCAAACTGCATGTGACACTTGCTTTGGGAGTGCTGGATCCATCATACTTTGGATTGAAGGCAGATCAAGAGATTCCATCCATGATCCTGACGCCGTCGCCATCCAAGACGCCATTCCACTCGTTTGGGCTCAGACAAGTGAATGCGACACACACGATCGTCAAGATGTTTTCTCAGCAGCCTGTTGACGATCTGGTTCTGAACGAGATGCACAGATCCCCGCCACAAGTCTGGAGACACTTTTGGAATGCACCAGGATCATATCCGTTTATTGGCCCGCTTCCAGAGACGTTTGAGTCTCGCGTGCAGTTGGAGGAGAGATTCTACTATCCGAGCGCCATGGAGCGCTTCTTCAGCTGTCTGGAGGTCCAAGCCATCTCTGGGCTGAACGTCGCCAACATGATTAAAGCAGAAATGGGTTACGTGTACTCGGGTGGCTTTCCAATCATGATCGTTGCTTTGCTCTCGCTCTTCTTGAGCATCGGATCTGCTGGAACGAGTGCGCGGGGATGCTCTGGATCCAACTGCACGACAATCGAGTCTTGGCTCTTGTAAGACACCAAGGGCTTTGGTTGTTCCTCAGCCTGCATCAGATGCAGCGATGAAGCAATACTCCTGAACCCAGACTGTCGCTTTCTTGAGATTGCGTCAGTCGACAATCGCGACGAAAGGGACTGTGTGTCGATTGGCTGCATCTCCACCTGCTCCTTTGCAATATCATACGCAACTGACACTGTTCCCTCTGTTTGCTTGACCACTGGTTTCCTGAACCTCCAAAACAGCCATGGAATCAATCGCATGAGCATACTCACAATAATAATCGCTACAACGATGCCAAGTGGAATCGCAGTGTACAAAACTGTAGCACTTTGTTGTGTTGTGTCGCTGGCTGTCGGTCTGCGGGTGGGAGTTGGATCCATATTTGGTAAAGCGCGAAAGCCAATCAGTGACAGGCTGTTGTTTCAGTATCAAATTCTGTGACGCCTGTTCAGCGAGGCCTGTGGCACAAAAATGCGACGAGGCAAAAGTGATTTTCCCAGTCTCTGGTATGCATTCCAGAGTGAATCCAAGCAAGGACTTGACCCCTTTACAGCCATTCATACCCTTGCAGACACTTGAGGTAGGAGCATATGATGAAGCACACCAAGTTCAAATCTACTTCGTTGGAGAGTGATGACGATGCATGTTGTGAGATATGGCGTGCTTGTTTGCAGTTTCCACGTTGACAGAAATGACTCTTTGGATGATGCGATTGCGCCATCGCGTTATTCCGGTCATAAAAAGCTGAATTGATCCCTCCCAGACAATGGATTATTTTGTAAGCTGGTGTCTCAACTGTGAAAAGCATATCCCACACGACTGTCTATATTGCTCTGAAGCCTGTGAACGACATGACACACAAAGCGGCTCTCTGCTGGTTGCAAAGGAAAACAAGTTTACATTCATGCTGGAAGATCAAGATCTGAGGCCATCTAGCC